TGCGTTCTGCTCCAACCCTGATGGAAGCGGACGGCGTAACCATCAGACCAAGATGACCTTGCAGGACGCAGTTGGTTAGCGAATGATGAGGCATGATGTGAGTTTTCGGCCACATTCGTACAAATTTTATCTGAAAGAAAAGGTTGCATTTCAAAATTTCTATAATATGAACGAGTGATGACCTAAGCATCGCTTAGACATCACAGTAACCCGTTGAAAAGTTGCAAATCAACAAATATGCTGTACTGTAGACCTGGCCTTATAGACCTTGCGTAAAATTATGTTCCCATGGATCGGCGGTGATAAACAAGCTCTTGTAAAACGCGCTGCTGCGTACTGTGCTGGTGATGGACGCAGATTGGCTCTTGGGCTCGAAGAACTGGTATAAAAGTGCCAGTCCGTCGTTGAAGGGGACCTTTTTCGCGAAGACTTCTGTTGTGTCGAGTTATATGTCGTGAAAGTGTTTTGCCGCAGACCTGTGTCGTGTCATCTGTTCATATTCACAATGAAAAATAAAGTTGTTAAGATTGGGCAGCGGTTCGTCTCAAATCCTCAAATGGAGACCAACCTTCAAGTGGCTGATGGGATGGACCCTAACCACAGCAGATCCGCCAAACGGGGTTGCCACAGTATCTAGCATTGCCGAGAGCTATATTTTCTGAAAGCCTATGTCATATAGGCTGTTATATTTTTTGTCACTGACTGTCATATTGCCATAGACCATCAGTGTTCTTCAGTGTAGTGGGTTGCCTTTCACGCCGTAGTCTAAAGATAACAATGCTGGAGAAATAAGGTAGCCAAATTTGCTATATTTGACTGCAGCAATGGTACTTTACATTAATAATAATCAACATTTGCTGCTTTGCAGATGTAATATTCCTTTCTCAAAAGCGGGTCTGTCTCAACGAGACGCTTGCAAGTGTTGTGTTATTTTCTAATACGCTTACGGTCAGCAAGCAGTTTTGGCAAGTGGATTCTTTTGCTAGTACTCCCATCCAATTCTCTAGTCATTTTATCAAATTAAGTCAGGGGTCAGTTCAGAAATTCTTCTGACTCGTTTCTCAGAATGTGCTACCTTCTCACTCCTGACTTCATTTTACAATCATAATGTGAGGGTAATGCAGAGATCGCGCTGTTGGAAGCAGCCAAGAGACAATTCATAGCGCTACAGGTTAGGAAAAATTTTAAGACTTACATAATCACACTGAACACGGCTTCTCTTCTGATGGCGATCGCCGCTGCTGTTTATCACAATGTGATATCTATACCGTCTGTATTTAGCTGATGTCAGTTCGGTTTATCATTTCGCTTTAGAATCAATACTTCCACCAGTAGCTGACTCTTCAGTAGTGCATGATATTGTCTATCTATGTATCGACCCTCCTTACCCTGTGGCATCCTTCAGTTATCATAACTTTCTTCCTCTTGGAGTTGTCTTCTAACCTAACTTTCACAGCCGTGTTGTATATGTTTCTAGCGAATGCCAGTAGGACAAATGTGGACGCACTCAGTGGCGTGATACCACCGTTCCACTTATACCTCAGAAATACAGCCCGGTGTCATGAACTGCTTCGCTGACATGCTAAAAGTCCTTTTCAATTTTGAAAGCGCAGAGATGTGGGTGGTTTGGTGGCACACGTCATCTACAAAACATAATGGCTTGGCCCCTGGTGTAGCACAAATTCTTCGTTTTACATGTCACTTCAAAAAGCTGCGAATTTATCTCTTCGTGCTAAGAACAACGTGTGAGACTAAACGTAAATGTACCTGTCCGTATTTGCATCTATGAGCTTGCGGAAAACGTTCAATCAATGAGCATGTGATCGGAGCAACGTCGCAGTTGCGTACGCTTTTAAAGCATAAAACAAGAAAATATATTTTACGTAACAGAGACAAACATATGCCATAAGGTACCTCCTGAAAACAGTATGACTTCACTGCAATTTCCGGTCGTCACAGCGGTAGTGCATAAATGGTAAAGATTGGGATGGAGGAGAGATAAAGCTTCTGCTTTGATAGACTTCCACTGATGTTCAAAACCCTAAACATTCACAAGTTATTTTCGTCCAATTTCAGCACAAAAGCTGAATCTATGCGTCATTTCTCTGCCCCTTTATAGGTGGCACACTTCCAATAGGAACAGAGTTTCATACAAAGTAGCATAATTAATCAATATATGTCAGCGTCATCGATTTCTAGAGGGGACTGCTTTGCTATCCTTTATCCATTGGCTATTTAAACAGCGACCCAATGATGTTTTGCCGTCTTCCTACAAAATGTCGCCATTTTGATGGCTAGAGCATCATCAAATTTATCGATTTTTTCAAAGTTCTTGAATCATTCATCAGTTCTTGAATCAAATTTGCAATGTCAGTTTGCAACACAATCACGAAGATCAATCAAATGCTGTGCTCTCGCTTCTTAGCGCATGTACCTTAAGCTATGTTTGAGAAAACAATGGTCAGAAATACAGTACCGGGTTATTGTCAAAGGTACATAATTAAAGCGATTGCCGAGCCGTTCATATTGCATGCATAACCTAAATTTTGGATGAGAACCTGCTGTACTAAATTTGTTTTCGATCATGCCATATCAATACAGTAACTCGAAGCGACTCACGCAACAATTTATGCACGTAGATGCAGTTGAACCGTGAATGAAGTGATATTCTGAATTATATACATGTTATAGACTTGCAGGAGGGCTTTGTTTGTTTGGAAGCATAAAAATTTTTAAAACAAGTTG